TATTCAATCACGTTATACACGCGGGGAACGCATAGTATCTTAAGCACAATATAAGCCTGTTCCAGATGGCTGCCCAGTTATTAAGGAAGAACTTTATTTAGTGCGCGACTAATACTGACGGGATGAATTCTTAGTTTCGTATTTCGTAAAGTGAATTGTTTGGAAAGTGTAGAGAATAACTTAGCACATGAATTTTTCTGTTTCACATCCTAAAGAAGAGACAGGTTAAACTTTTTCCTTCTGAACCCAATCGTTTCAAATTGTAACCTGCATTTCGCTGTGTACGTGAATCTGCCAGTGTGACTGAGAATCGGTCTTGTAAGTGTTACCCATTGTGTCCAACAGCTTCTCGGGAAGAAGGAGAGAAAGCGGTGTTTATGGACAAAAATGGCTAGGAAGACCAGATTATCTTTGGTAGGTTGAAATCACCATCATCTGTTTATGTGGCATTTCAGATGCACTTTCGAAAGATAAAGCAGCACCAACAATAATCGTGGTTGAAGCAACCAGCTGGTTATAGATAAATCCAAGTACGATGTAAGGCAATTCTCCTGAAGCGGATAACCAGGGAGATGTTTGCACATTTATTACTTATGGATGCTCAAGAAAATTCGCTGTAAATTCGTTATGTACGTATATTACGCACACACCTTCTTTTCAAAAAAGATGCTAATTAGGAATCATTTAGTATGGAACGTAACTTATTTGGGTTTAAAACCAAAGGTAATTCCCAATTTTTCGTCAGTGTTTCACGAGACACGCTTATTGTTGTTGTGTACGCCAGAGTAAGAATGAACCATTGGATACTGATGGTAGATTATTGTGTGTGTAAATCTTAAATTGGGAATTGCGAATAAGCAATGGTGTAAAGCTATAAAATCTTATAAGTAAAGTGCTTGGGTATTCAAGAAAATTCTGTACCCGTATTCGGTAAAAATACAGAGGATGCTTCCAAACAGTCACTATAAAGAGTCGTTAAGTATGGTACCTTTCAGGAGCGCACACCACTCAGTTTGATACAAACCACGAAGACAGAAACGTACCATTGAGCCAGGATAATTACATCATAACGCAACGAAACAAGTTTAAATCCTTGCGTGAAGTTCTAAGAAAGAAGAAGTAGCTCCGTGCCTGTGAACAAGCTGAAACTCCGTAGGGCGGCTTGTCACCGAAATAGTCAATTAAGGAATCATTTTAGGTGCACTATATTGTAAAAACTTATTGGCTAATGTTGCGCTAAACGAGGTACAACGGAACGTGAGGCCAATCGATCAGAACGAATAATTAATAACAGCGCTAATACAAGGGGTTCTGCGTAACACAATTTAGTAATAGATCATTCGCAGTGTGTTAAGTTTTCGTTGTAGGATTTAAGAAGGAAATAAACTTGCAATAGATAAAATTAGTTGCATATCGGGACTTCGTTAAACAGCAGTCTGTTAAATATTAGTTTTACCTGACAGGTGTGACGAAAGCACTGACTGGTGACAGTTGCGCAAGGGAATGTATAGCAGTTCCGAAACACTGGTCACATTTACACCGAAGGACTCACAAGATCGAAAAACTGGCAAAGCTTTGCGAGGTCCTCTGAGGCTACGGCTGTTTTAAACTTTGATACTGGCAGGATCCAGGCGCCTGCCGTGTTGGTCTATGAAAAACCCGAGGAATTTAGCTCTATCTAACAGGAACTCACAATTCATGGCCTACAATCGAAAGCCAGCTTCCTCAAACGTGAAGGTAATCTCTACGGCGAGTTCATCAAGTCTTGCGGGTCTCCTCTCCTAATCGATCTTCCAGGTAGACTGCGTTCTTAGGAATATCATTCACCAGCATAACCATGATTTAAAGCACTTCGTTCCCTTCAACAACTTGAAAAGTATTATTGGTTGGAAAATGCCCGGTGTGGTTTACAAACCAAATATATCAGATGGTTTTACTAGAAACGTCCGAGGTACGTTTTAACCATTAGTTTCGTTCTGTACTCTTCGACAACTGGGATTTATAAGTAAGCATCAGCTAGGTCAGGTTTTACGAAGCTTTTGCAACCGGTATGTTGAGAGAACAGGTCTTCTGTCACATGTGATGGGTATTGATGCGTCTCCAGCACAGAATACAGGGCAGTTGAAATATCGGAGCAGGTAAGGACGGTACCGTTCGATTTCTTTAGCAACACGATATGTGTCGACATTCTGAGTAGTGGACCCGTTCAACTATACCTTCGGATTGCGCACGACTTTGCTCGGTTTCCACTAACAAGTGAGTTGCGTACGGCACCCGGCGCTTTGGTCTGAAGGCTGGTTTGGTGTCTGAATTGAGCTTCTACTTCGCCCTGGCTACACGACAGTATCCAAGACCGGGTTTGAACACCCTTTCATGGCGTCGCTACAGTTTTGCAATTCGGTTATGCAATTCGGTTATGTAATTCGTGGCTCATGGTTGGCATCTGGGTAGATTGTTTGACTTGCAACTGCTGGCACTCACTGCTGACCGACTTGTCGAGCAATATCAGCCCATTCATCCAATCGTGTCCCAGCAAATCTAATCCCGATCGATCTGTCACAAAGCATGTTGTGTGGATTTGTCGGCCCCTGAAATTGACTTGACAGTTCATTTCACATAGCAGTTGAAACGGATCATCTGAAGCATTCTGTGCTGACTGGGCGGGTTTGTTCGACTGCCGGCCGCTGCAACCTGCGTCACGTGCCGCAAGGAATTAGAGTGTTAGCTGAAGGAGTATCAAGTTGTAATTGGACTTGCACGCCATAGATTCCCCCCACCGTGTACTTGCACCAGTTGACCTTATCAAACTTGAAACTGGCGGTGATCGAGCTGAATCCATCGAGCCGTCTGAACTGGGGGCATTGTTGCGCTTATTCCTTGTCAATTTAGGACAACACGACTCTTTATGGCCTCTACTGCCTCATCGGTTGCAAATGTGATTCTTACATAGACACTTTCAAGCAAATGCCTTTCTTTACAAAACCAACAACAGAGCAAGGTTTAGATTGTAAAGGACACCCATGAGTAGTTGCTGTTTGGGACGTCCGGTTGACTACACAAATAAAACCACGATCGTTCGTATTGGACAACTGCTGAATCATTAAGGTATCGTCCTTCAGTTTCTTCATCATTAGGTACTCAACGTTCACTTGCTGCAATGTGACGGAAGGATTCTTTTCAATCTTGCTCAGTGTTCTTGTTCGAATGCCTGTATTTTTGGCTGTTCGTAGACCACAAACATGAATGAAAAACTTGTACTGATCGCCGGTCGTCTTGCGTAAATTTGACCTTTCGCAGTGGCGATTCACACGGCTCGAATAGCTGACCCCATCCGCACCTTGATTTTTAGTGATCGCCAGACACTTAGAACAAATGTTGTACTGGGATGTATATTTGCCGTTTATGTGTGAGAGGACAGTCACGACTTCCTCAAACGACAGGTCAGTGCTCTTCTTTGGTAGAATGACATTAGCGAATTTTGCATGTTTAACAGCACCCAGCTTCTGAGGCGCAAGCCGAAAGCTTTTCTCCTGTGAGACGCTGACCAAATCGACCCGCAATCAAGCTTCATACTTGCGGACCAAGGAAACAAACACTACATTGGCGCTGGCATCATAATTGGACTAGCTGATTAGTTAAGGCAGGTTTTTCAGAAAAGTGACTCTTTGACCTGCCTCTAAATCTGAGCTTGACTGTGTCGACAATTTCTGCGTCAACATCACAATGAGCTTATAGTGCTATTCGCAAACTAGGCTTGCGGTTGATGCAAGAGTGCCAGCAATTTTTCAAAGCTGCTAACCATTTTGGGGTTCCGTTGAAAATTCCCGTCGCCACTGTTGTAACGCCACACTGTCTGCTCAATGCGCCGCTAATCCAGCCGGAGAAGAAAAGAGAAGACTGAGACTTGTTACACCGAAATGTATTAGGGGCAGAGCACGGTAACTTTATAGGTTACATCCATTTACTTCGTCTTGCGTTACTGGGCTGATTGACGTCAGCTGTCTAGACAGATTCAACCCAGGCAGCGACCACGCTTGTCTGGCAGTAGTCGAGACCACGTCCGCGCCATGGCAACCCGTGCGATGACGATGAACTGTGTGGGTCAGGTGAAGACGACATCTGACTTAGACCGAACTCATGTCACGAAACCGTGTCATGCCGTTCATCCGTTGCGGCCGCCTACTAGAGCCAACAACTTTATCAATTGCAATTGCTGTGGACAAAGGAATACAAACTTAATAGGCTGAGTACCGCAAAGCCTTTTTCAGTTTCCCACTGCCCAGTGCTTTACATTAAACGAGAAAAATTATGTCGAACTAGAGCACCATACGTATTTAATGTAAATGGCGCGGAATTCAACGTTCGTACCATACCTTTTGGTCTTTTTGACCAGATGTCCGCAAGCTAATTGGTGGCCAACTGGCGTGTGAAATTCAAGGGGAGACAAATCTAGTTAACGAGACTATCTGTCATCAGCATCATGCCGTAATTCTGTCACAGCAAACTCCACAGACGATTGTCTCTAGAAAAGGCAAAGGGGGTATTTTCCTTCTGAAATGTACACTTAAGTGAAGTATGAAACATTCGACGTAGGGAAAGAGCTAGGAACCAGTAACCAATGTTGTCACAATATCATAAACGTCGCATCAAATTCCGTTTGAATTTGATCACACATAATATTATATCCACGATAGTGTGCAAATTGGAAAAATATGTGAAATGGAGACCGAAACTTGCAGCAAACTGTTAAACTAATTGGTGCCATGACCCATTTTACTTGGGTCCAAATTTGACTACATGGTCACATTCCTCCACCCACAAATTACATGACCTGAATGAGCAACAATGCTACGGTCAGAGCATGTTACACATTACACGGGAATGAATGTTTCGAAAAACAGTATATTCGAGTTCGGGTCAGCGTTGCATTGAGGTGGTATATATAATGCATGGCATTGGTTCTGGCTTAGCTGAACAGACGGTTCAAACAACTTTATCAACATGCACGGTTTCAGTGTGTTGCTGTTGTTCTCCGCTTTGACGGCAATTGGCATGGCCAACATGCATGGGTGAGTTGATTCAAACTGTGTAAATCTTGCGTCTCGTATTCTAGACCACCTCCGAGCATGGAGCAAATGATGGACATGCCTATGGAAGTAAGTCTTTACACGCGTTTGTGATCGGTTATGACCAATTAGCAATTTATGAGTATGATGTCGGATCGTATGGAAGCCATTAGACCTAAATTACGAACCAAGATGTACAACAAGATGCAGCAAGACGAACTAGGCAAAAAAATGTTGCAACTTGGTCGAAGCGTTCGTGAAGTGATGCATTCTGGTAGGTTGGATAGTTGTTTTCCAAAGTCGTTATTCTCTCTTCTCTATTGTAGCGATGGAGAGGATGGAGAAGTGTGCGAAAGAGCCCTGAAGGAGTCAAAAGTTACGAAAAGTTGTGCCAATCTTTGCTTATGCCAAATAAATCAAGTTGCACTCTCATTTTTTGTGTGTTGAATCATTACAAGCCACCTGATGTTTTGCGCTACATACTTTGTGCCAATGCTGAACTTGTTGCATCTGGTCTCCTCTTAACCAGGAAGCGACATCCCGAAGAGATATGGGTGTTTTGAGAGTTATGCTTCTCGACTACCGGCTATAATGAGTTTGAATGCCGAGTGCAGAGTAACCGCGTAACGACCAACAATTGGCTGGGTTTTCTACATTTTCTTAAGCGCAGATATTTCTCTGAAAAGATTACATTATTTCTCTTATGCTCATATACATTAAATCAAACTTCGACGGGCGTCGTGTGTAAATTATCCATCGCTTCATCCGTATGTTGGACACAGGTTCGACAGTACATATCGCATTGTGCTAACTATTAATACAGTTCAGATGGATATTTTTTATTAAAGTTAGTATCAGCCTCAGTATGAAAAATAAAGTGGCTAGTCATGGTCGGCCGGAAAACTTTCACCCTGCTCAATTGGATAAGAACAAATTCATCAAGTTACTTCGGCGGCATTTTACCGTTTGCGTGTAAGCATTATAGAAGCAGTTGACCACACTAACAATGATAAGGACCAGAAAGAAGCTGGCTGCGACATTTGGCACAGTTGGCACAATACTACCGTTAATAATTGTGTTGCATACATAACTGCGATTCACGTTATTCAAAGACTTTTAAGGCCCCATTAAGCTCATTGTGTCGTTTTGATCATGAGTTAATTAAGTCCCTTGGTCGGTTGGTCCTATTATAATGGCAAATATTATAGCTCAAATTTCTGCTTAATCTAGCTTGCAAAGTTTGCTGGGAAATACGAGTGTGTGGTGGCTATGCTGCTTATTACAAATGCACCTGACACAGCCCAATATAACTCGGTTGTGTGTCCGGTCATTCGCAACGGGTGGCCTAGTTCGCGATCTTATCCAAATTTGCCACAGACTCTGTGGCGATTTTAATTACCAAATGTACGGGGTGTTGGCTTAGTGTAAGACAAGGAGATCCGTTTGCACTTTATTATTCATCATTGTGGTCTAAAGTAGCCCGCAACAATGGGAAGGAGTTGTATTCAGCGACAGGAATGCGGTTGAAATAGCTTAGGCTTACGATGTGATACTATTCACGAACACATGGAAGAAGGCCAGATAAAAATGTCTTGCTTTTTGGTGCTACAGTACTTAAGAGTTAAAGGAAGCAAGCGATGTGGGTTAATTAAACAAAAGGTTTCGAATCCTGATGGATCCGATGAACGCGCACTACTGATGGCGCCCAACGGGCTGAAACTGCAGTCTAGTGCTTTTCCGGGCATGCGGACGACTATCTGGTTTGGACACTGGCTACGATGAACCTCACTTAATTACATTAAAATCCCCTACTCATGAGTAAACAAATTTTATTTACACCACGAAGTGCATAATGCGTAGAGCCAGTGTGCAATGTCGGTCGCCCAAAACTCGTGGGCAGTATCAATATGCTATTGGAGTATTTCCAAATGATCAAACTTCAGCAGTGGAGCTGTTTTGCGAGTTATCGATAAATGTACGAGAAAATTATAAGTGGTATAGCATATCAAAAGAAGTCTCGTCATGGATAGGTGGGGAAAGTAGTGGCACTTAAGGTTAGATACCAGGTGCTCGAATTTTATAGAAAGCTGTCTTGTGACCTGTGCTAGCGCACCAGTTAGCACAAATCAGGAAAAGCGTATTCCAAGTGGGGTCGCACTATTCTGAAACCTTCGTGAGTCTTGTCTCAGTTTCTCTATTGTAACTCAGTTTAAAAGCCTTTGTGCAACATAAGAGCATACGTAAACCAACGTATGAGAGAGTGCTTTTACTTGGTGTTTTAGCGAGATCCTGAGAGTCTCTTCAGTAAAAGTCGTTTCAGAATATTCTCTCTGAAGTGAATTGTGTCAAAAACAAGTGCTTGCTTGACAACTTTGCCTTACTAACAAATGATCGGTCAATTGGGAAAGCATTACTTAGTGCATTTCACGGTCAATATATCGTATATATTTCATCACCATAAAGGTATATGGATTGCCTTTACGCACGTGAAGCGGATTTTTCTGCAATCTGCCTCATCCGTGTAAACACTAATTTAGGGATACACGACTGCGTTCAGTCATAAGTGATAGAAAAGGGCCTTCGTACATATGTTTCAGTTTTCGCGTTGCAAGACGACCCTGGGGGTTCCTGATAACCCGTAACTATCACATTGACACTTACAGTGCCCGCAGTGTTGACAGAAATGGGTTGTTGCGAGTACTTAACCAGCTGATGGTCAAAGAAATGCATGCCACCAGAGTTCCTACCAAGACTTAATGTGAAGATAACGAGCAGCCTTATTGCTTATTTGTTGTACAAACGCTTGTGGGTGGCTTAAACTTGCCTAGTTTTGTTGCAAAATACCAGTGGCGCTGAGATATACAAACACTTCAGGTGTTCTTTGCCGAACCATTTCTGGATCCTAACCAGCTTTCTTCTGCACGGTGACTAGGATACTAGAGAGCTATGATGTCAAGCGCTCTTTTGGCATCGTATAAGTTGTGCCAATGCGGAAATGCATCCCAATCATCCGCTAACTGCACCTAGCAGTGCAATGAAGAGCTTGCGTTGCCCCATCCACAGCTCCATCCACATATATCATGCAGAGTAGAAAAATAAAAGGAATCAGACTGGGAGGCATGCGAATGGGAGCCATGTTTCATTAGCGCAACCGGCCCACACTCATTCAACGTGCCCTGCAATAGCATTCCTGTCTACCTACATCGGCAATCATGCTGCGAGGTAGTTGTCAACCGAACTCAACAGGCATGTGCAAGCAAATATAAAACCCCTAATCCATTGACCCAAAAGATGAAGCCTTTCCTAAAGAGCATGACTCGGAAATGCATGACAATGTGGGACTTGGCATAGCTCGCCCATATAACCTCTCCGAGCAGGGGCACTTGGGACGTCTATACGGCACAAAGGAATCACTGTGTCCCACGCGTCCGGGAGGATAAAGTAAAGGACCAACAAGAGTGTATGCTAAAAGGTCGCTCTAACCCAAATCTGATAATCAGACAAGTAAACAAAGTTGCCTGGTTAAGCGCGGAATTCCTGCTTTACAAATAACATGCGGATACGCACAAACAGCATAAGAGGCAGTCAAGGTTCCTGGACAAATTTTAGCAGTACCTGCCAAAGCGAACAATCATCTTAAATCCTGCTTACGCATATCATGACGCCATCAGGACTCAGACACAAATCGTTTACTTCAACAGCTACTGAAGAGGCTGATGTCCTTGCGCGAGTTCAGCTCTCCGGGTGCGGACAGCATTCGCTCAAAGGCGCTGAAATTTGCTGCCATGAGTTTATCTGAACCGTTAGCAATACGCTTTTCGCGATGTTATATGTGATGCCCGGCCCCAACTCCAGAAGCACGGGATCAAAATCCTAAGCTACAAAATTTGTAGCCGTGTAGAACCAGCAACATATCGCCCGATAATGCGTCTTCTGGTGACATCCAAGGTCTTGCAGTCTATTGTTGTTGAGGCGCTCATACAGTATCTGGACTGTAACAAAATTTTCATTCCAAAGCAGCACGCATTTCACAAAAATCGGTCCAGCACCCATAATCTATTGATAGATCAGGCAACCTAGACGAAATCTGTTGATAATGGTGTAGGAGTAGACTCAGTCTAACTAGATTTCTCAAAAATATTCGACCGCCTGCATCATCGCGTACTACTGCACAACTTCCAGAAGTATGGTATTGGCGAGCCCGTTCGTATTACCCTGTCGGAATCAATCGAAGTTCAGTGCGGCATACCTCAGGGCTCGGTGCTGGGGCCCCGCCTGTTCCTGGTCTTCATAAATGAGCTTAAAAGCACGCCGTAATCAGGCTGTCTACTATTTAACAATTGGCTTACTATACGACATACTATTGCTTAAGTGGTTAATCACACAGCCCTAAACGATAAACTAGACAAATCGCACATCCATCGATAACATGCTGCCGTTCAACGCCATCAGAGTACTCACAGCTACCGCCTAGGAAGACAAATTGTACAGCGGGCTTCTCATAAGTGCGATTTTGACGTGTTCATGCAAGGGAACCTTGGATTTGTGGGAGGATGAAAAGGCATCAAAGAAAGCAAACCAGTAGTTTGATCTTATTCGTAAAGCGTTCGGGATGTTAGATGCCTCAATCTTTCCGAAAATGCACGGCGCGTAAGTAAGGCCGCACGCGGACTCCGCTATCCATGCGTGGCAGCCCTGGCAGAAGCACAACATCAAAGGGCTCGATACCGCACATCGCAGAGCGAAAAATAACGTTGGAGCCTTGTGTCACCATTCCTACTCACTCCGAATAAAAACTCAAAATATACAGCAACCTTTATCAGCGTATGCGGGAAGAACTCATAGTGCCGTATCAGATCCTGAGATATCCAAAACCATACTTCCCACTCTGTTTTGAAACTTAGTCAAAACCCATCTCTATAAGGTCATCAGTTTAAGTTGGTCACGCTATACAGCCTACTGGAAAGTCGACGAATCTGCTTCTCCGAGTTTCACAGCCCTGGAACGAACTTCCGGCGCATCACGTAGTCGCTCCCAAGGTATTCTGTTTCAAAAAAGTGATGTTATGCGTTTACATTTAAACTACGTGATATAGTCTATTACCATCAGTTGATTGCATTAGTACACCGTAAACAGTGGACGGTGCAATACCCATCCTAATCTCTAGGCAGGAATACTCGGGGAGTCAGGTATCGCACACCATTTTTACTGACACCGTCTTTTGTAATCTTTCACTTTTCACCATAACCATCCTACGAGACATGTCGAGCATTC